ACCATACTATACTATACTATACTATACTATACTATACTATACTATACTATACTATACTATACTATACCATACCATACCATACCATACCATACTATACTATTCTACTCTGACAAGGAAAGTCAATGGGGAAGCTGGAGGGAAATTGCAAATTGTGTTCACATGATACATTGCTTAATGACTGCAGTGATTCATTTAATGACTACAGCAAAAATGTGTGTAAAATTGGGTGCGGTTGTGATACCTCACTTAACAACCACACTATCAAATTTTCTGATCACAGCTGTGGTTCTAAGTCAAGGATTACTTGTACCTGACATAATGTATTCTGTCTCTAAGCACTTACCGGCTGAACCAGCACATTGTTCTTCCCATACAATAAATGTGTCCGTGAGTTCTGATGCAACGACTCCACATAATCCCTGGCCGAAGCTGCAAAGCGGTCTTCCGACGTGCTTCCACTTGAGTGACGCTTCCTGATCTGATGCACACAAGAATCCAACGTTGACATCAGGATACAACCAAGAAGAAGATGAGCTATAATTCCTCTTCAAGGGCAACCTTGCAAGCTATTCACCATTCAACTAACGTCCACCAAGGCCTCTATTGTTGCAATTTCTTTTTTAAAAATAACTGAATAAGCTTGTCCTTCCCATTCCTGGCTTCCACGAAAGATTTTGGTTTCCTTATCATCAATCAACTAACAGACTATTTCCTGACGCTTCTCCATCCACTCCAAATAACTTGCATGAACAATTTCTAATGTAAAATCTGTCTGTCTAAAATAAATCACAGCAGGTGGAAACACCTTGGCAACTTTAAGACTTGTGGACTTCAACTCCCAGAATTCCTCAACCAACTGCCATGCTGAGGAATTCTGGGAGTTGAAGTCCACAAGTCTTAAAGTCGCCAAGGTTGGATACTCCTGACCTAGATGATCTTGGCTGATCTAAAAAAGCAAAGCAGGATTGACTGGGAAGTTGGAAAATGCTGAGAACCATAGATGTGTTCTCTTAACTGTAGTTATGAAAAAAGGATGAAATGTGCACTGTGATGTCACAAGAATACGGGACATTCACAGGGAGGATAAAAAAGACCCAATGGCAATTGTTGTAATATAGTCCAAGCCTTTTTATGTTTTTTGACATTGCATACATGTGCGAAGGGGCTGGGTTTAGATCACATTGACATGACTACCATCCTGCTTGTTATGATCCTGTATGGTGGACATCACTAGATGCAAATACTTCTTCATATTTGGTACTGGATAAAAGTAAACAAGTCAGGAGATGTTTACACCAGAATGTAATGGTTAAACTATTGTTACCAAGATGTCCCCACTGTCCTCCAGAAGTTGTGGATGCTCCAACACTGGAAATTTTTAAGAAGAGATTGGACAACCATTTGTCTGAAATGGTATAGGGTTTCCTGCCTGAACAGGGGGTTGGACTTGAAGACCTCCAAAGTCCCTTCTGACTCTGTTATTGTTATTGTTGTTATTATTATTAGAAAGAGATGTATAACCTACTACTAAAACTGTGATTCCTGTAACCTTGAACTGGGTGAAATGGTGCGTCACTGAACATTATTTTTTGAACCAAGGTACATGAAATGGGCTAACTTACTGAATGCATCCAAATTCTGGAACCTAGTATAGAGCGTCCTATGGATTGGAATTTGGCAAATTTTATAAAAAAAAGTTTATGACATAAACATTATTATAAAGCAGACTAGCTGTACCCGGCCACGCGTTGCTGTGGCTCAGTCTAGTTAAATGGAAAAGAAAGAAAAGAGAAAGCGTACGTTTGTAATATGTTTAATTTCACAATGCTTGTGGGTATGCTTTTACGTCCAAAAGATGGCGCTGTTTTTCAAAAAAGCATGTTTTTACCTGTCACAGGTGTGACATCTATATAACAGTAGGTATATAAAAACACGCGCGTATTCGAATGCAACGTTGTGTCAAAATTTCAAAGCAATCGGTGAAGAACTTTCAGAGATTTAAGATTTTGAACAAACGAACATTTACATTTTTATTTATATAGATGATGACATAATAAAGAGTGTCATAAAACATTTCCTGTGCTGACATTTGTCTGTGCTATACAGTTTAACATGGGTTATTTTCAAGGCAGATATATCTCTCAGTGTACCCCGAGGTTTCAAGTGAAGGCAGTATATGAGAAGCTGTGTTGAAGGAATTGAGACACCTGGTAAGGAAATATCTCTGAAATTATGACCTAATGGGACACAGGTTGTCCAGTATGAACTAAATGCCTTTGTCTACGGAAATAACCTCATTCCTCATATGGTTTAGACTCCAGATCTCTTATCACTTTGTTGCTATTTCCTGCACTGTTTCTAGAATCTCAATGTCTCTTTTTGCATCACGGTCACCCATCAATCACCTCCCTTTCTACAGAAATGGGGTATTTGTAGATTTCAGAGGAAACTTCAAATCCCAGCAGATGCAGACACCAAGAGCTGCTATGAGTTTTCATTCAGCAAAATCCAGAGAACCAAGAATTTACTTACCCATCCTTTGTTGAGACTCAAAAAATAAATTATATTACAATGCCAATTGGCTACCTCATTCAGCAACCTAGTTTGCAATATACGGTAAATCCTGGTCATAATATTAGCAGAGCTGTGCAAAACCATTCATAAAAGGGAGATAATAGATTGTATCCTGTCCAGAGTGCAAAACAGCATTTTTGAGCACAATACAAGCTGTTCCTGCTACTCTGGGAGTATCCTGAGGTCAAAACAGAGTTGTTTTGAGTTCAGAACATTTCCAAATGATCAGGAAAGCCTGTGTCTGATCAAAATGGGGTGTTTGGATTCAAATCCATTTGAGTTTGAAATGGTTTGCACGCTTCCTTCACTGTCTGTTGCCACCACCTGATGTTCTGAAGATGCCTGTATAAACTCATGCTGTTACTACAAAACGTTCTGAAATACAAGAAAGCAGTAAGTGTAAGTCTTCCAAAATTATTTTTAAAAAAGATTTGAGGGATATTAAAGGAGAAGAAATCACCTACTCCTAGGGCTGGCCGTTTAGAAGGAGAGTCTTGGCGACTGTGGGTTCCATGAATCCGATGCCTCTGGACCAACTCATCTGCTGAGGGGTCTGTCCAGAAGTGGTCAGCCGTTTTCAGCTTGGTGTAATCCAGGGCACAAGGCCCAACTGAAAGCCAGACAGAGGAAATGGAGTAGAGTCATAGGCTTCTCTTTCACCAAAGAGGCCTAAAAACTGAGGTCGGCTGACCAATCCTCTAGAAACCTTCATTTGTTTAAACCATTTGTTTCTCAACCATGGCAGTTAAGGTGTATGAACTTTATATCCCAGAATTCTGGGTGGGGAATTCTGGGAGTTAAAGTCCACACATCTTAAAGTAGCTAAGACTGAGACGCTGGTGTAAATGAAAAATACATTTTGGCTTCCCACTTCCTGAGTTGGAAGGTCAAGCCTGGCCCTGTCATTAGATAGAAGGTCTTAATTTCCAATACTAGATCTGGAAATGTCAGCAAAATATTTGGTGTTCAGGCCTGTGTCTCTTACAGCAGCCATTTTGTTTCAAAAATGAACTGCTTGTGTATGTGGAAGAGGAGGGAAGGCCATCTTGGTCCCTACTAGACCAAACTTGAATAACACGAACACCAAAATGGCACCCTCTATCTTTTCAAATAAAAATGTTGACTGGACTCAACTAGCTGTGAGTCTTTTTTACCAGGAGGAGGAGCATGGTAGTAAAAGTGGTGAACAGCTGGGAAGCTAGGCATAAGTAAAACTGCAAAATGTCTGAAATTCTATATTAGCTCATTTTATCTCCCTGTGGGCATGATGCTGGGGGAAAGCTGGCTGATTTTCAAGTCACGGGACTATAGTTCAGCCATCACAGCTACTGAAGAAGGATGCTGGAAGCTACAGATCAGCAACATCTGGAAAGCTACAGATCTCCCAACCTTGCGTGTCTTAAATTTAGTGGTGTCAGGCATGAACTACCAGGTCCATACCTGAAGGTCTAATTAAACTGATTTATTGCTAAACAGCCTATGCATAGGAATCTTCTCAACTAACAGTTAATACTTGCTTGGAGTTAGCTAAGGGCCCATGGAATTCAGTTGGACTTAAGTTTACTTGTGGCTATGTAGGGATTCTAGTTTGATCCCTCTTTTAACTCCACCCACAGATTCTGCCACTCCGCCTCCCAAGTTAATCTTGAAAATAGGTTCTACTTGGTGAAGTGATGCATTAAGGTTCAACCCTCAAATGCTGGAAACAACACAGATTGATTGTCTGTTTTTCTAAATGTCAAATCCAGCTGTTTCACTGACCTGCCCCCAAGGATAAGTGAAGCACACAGGTTCTGGGGGAGGAAAAGAAGAGGAAGGGGAAACTGTAGCGCATGTATAGTTTAAATCTCCTCTTTGTGTGATAGTGTATATGTAGTCCTTGACTTATGACCACAGTTGGGATCAGAATTTCTACGTGCTAAGCAAGGCGGTTGTTAAGAGAGTCATGACCAGTTTTACAAACCTTTTTGCCGTAATTGCTAAGCGAATCACTGCAATTATTAAGTGAATCATGCAGATTTATTAAGTGAATCATCCAGATTTCCCCATTGATTTTGCTTGTCAGAAGCTAGCTGGAAGGTTGCAAATGGTGATCACATGACCCCAGGACACCACAATCATTGTGAATATATGCCAGTTGCCAAGCACCTGAATTTTGATCACGTGACCATGGGAACATTGCAATAGTCATAAGTATGAAGACCAGTCATAACAACTTTTTTCAGTGCTATTATAACTTCAAACAGTTGCTAAACAAATGATTGTAAGTCAAGGACTACCTGTAGTGTAACAATTCAAATGTTGGCCTTGGTTTGGAGAGACCCATGTTCAAATCCCATCCAATTACAAAGCTCCCTGGGTGACTCTGGGCCAATAAAAATATCTTCCAGCCCAACTTCACAGTTTTGTAGTGGAGATAAAATTTGTGAGGACCTCTACAAACACTGTGAACATCCAGGAAAAAGATGGGGTATAAATGCAGGGAATGAATGAGTTTAAATCCTTCGCTTGAACTGTTATATTTTATATAGTCCCCCCTGGGTTTCAAAAGATTATTGAAAATAAGACTTTGAGAGTATTAGAATGTTAGATTAAGTCCCCCGAGATTCTTTTTATCCTAATTAGTATGGTTAAGTGTGGGGGTACAGGGTCAAGGAGACCATGTTGACATAATGTAAACTCCAAGTACAAAATTAAAAACGTTTGTAGAGACCTTTTATGTCACCCTTTGGTTCACGTTCAAAATTGCATGGAAATAATATTTAGGAAGGATACTTACCTAGAAGACAGGCCAAGATGGGTCCACATACTGGATCGGCCAATAATGCCTCTTTCTCATAATATTTGCTAGAAGAAACAAATCCCCACAATCAATTAAAAAGAAAGAAAGGAAAAATATGAACACAACACGACTGAATAGATAACATCTTAAAATCATAAAAATGTTGCTTAGTGAGGTATGCAGGTTTAGGGCTTCAATCTTCCCATCCTTAATCTAAACCAGTGTTTTAAATCCCAGCACTTGGAAACTGACTTCAACTCCCAGAATCCCCCTTATGGATGCTGCTTTGAACTCCTGGAGAAAGTTGGGATATAAATGCAATAAAAAGGGTACAACAGAAAAAAAAAAAAATAATATCTAAGGACCTACCAAGTGAGGCTAAAGGAATCAAAGGGGTGGAAAGAACTAATCCTTAACCACAGAGCAAGTGGTGGGAACATCTTGAGTCTGTGAAACACTTCAGCTGGTGATAAGAGGATAACAGAATACTGAGCTGGAAGGGACTTTGGAGGTCCTCTAGTCCAACCACCTGCCCAAGCAGGAGATCCTATACCATTCTACACAAATGGCTGTCCAATCTCTTCTTAAAAACCTCCAGTGATGGAGCGCCCACGATTTCTGGAGGCAAGTCATTCCATTGGTTAATTGTTTTTGTCAGGAAATTTCCCCTTGATTAGTTTCTTTCCTTGATTAGTTTCCATCCATTGCTACTTATCCTGCCTTCAGGTGCTTTGGAGAATAGCTTGACTCTTTCTTGTTTTTTGGCAGCACTTTAGATATTGGAATATTGCTATCATGTCACCCCTAGTCCTTCTTTTCGCTAGACTAGATATTCTCAGTTCCTGCAACCGTTCTTCATGTTTTAGCCTCCAACCCCCTAATCCTCTGTGTTGTAAGGCAGAATTTGGATGGGCAAATTTCAGCTGGACTCTCACAGTCCTGCTTTCTTTGAACCCAGCTTATAATGTACCACTATGGCTGGCCTCATATATAAAGCATGCCAAATGAATTCTTAGCCCAACATCTCAGTCTAACCTCTAAGTCCCTAAAAAAAGATGATTTCCTGTGTTCCTAGGAAGACATGCAATCTTAAAGGGGAGAAGTAGCACCATTTCACCTATAGATGGGGCTAGAGTTCCAAGTCCCAGCTTTGTCCATTAGCATCTGCAATTAGGTCTGTTGAAGCTGATGAGGTCCCACTAGCTAAGAACAATCCCATCCATTTCCAGGAAAAGACGGGAATTTCCTTTTCAGGCCTCCTTAGGCAGAGATCAAACCCAAATCCATGGGAAATGCTATGAATTGACAAGATCCCTTCCCTCCCTTGCTACAGGTTCTCCTCACTTAACAACCAATCACTTAGAGACTGTTCAAAGTTATGACGGATCCCCCAAAAGGTACTTAGGACCCAATTCTGGAGTTCCAACGGCTGCATACATTACCACCCACAGTTATGTGGTTTAATTTTGGGCATTTGGCAATAGGCTGACATTTACAGCCCTTTGCAGTGTATAAACAAGAGTTGTATAAACAGAGGCACAGAATCAAAATCACGTGAAGTATTAGTACCGCTTTATAAAGCCTTAGTAAGGCCACACCTGGAATAGTGCATCCAGTTTTGGTCACCACATTACAAAAAAGATGTTGAGACTTTGGAAAAAGTGCAAAGAAGAGCAACGAAGATGATTAAAACTCTGGAAACTAAAACATATGAAGAACGGTTGCAGGATTTGGGTATGGCCAGTCTAGAGAAAAGAAGGACTAGGGGGGGACATGATAATATAATTCCAGTATTTGAGAGACTGCCACAAGGAGAAGGGGGTCAACTTATTTTCCAAAGCACCAGAAGGCAAGACAAGAAACAATGGATGGAAACTAACCAAGGAGAGAAGCAACGTGGAATTAAGGAGAAGCTTCCTGACAGTGAGGACAATTAACCAGTGGAACAGCTTGCCTTCAGAAGTTGTGGGTGCTTCATCACTGGAGGTTTTTAAGAAGAGACTGGACAGCCACTTGTCTGAAATGGTATAGGGTCTCCTGCTTGAGCAGGGGGCTGGACTAGAAGACCTCCAAGGTCCCTTCCAGCTCTATTCTGATTCTGATTCGTGTCCCAAGGTTATATGACTGCACTTTTTGGTGGTTTTTGCCAGTTTCTGCTGTTTACTTCCACTTTCTGGCAAAACACTTGCTGGATAAAAAGAATGGATTTGTTTTTTGACTGCTGTGTTTGCTTAATGATCACTGTTGTTCACTGCTGCAGAAAAGGACATAAAATTGGGTGCAGTCACATGGTGACCTGTTTAACAACTGTCACGACTTGCAACCATAATTCCAGGCTCAGTCCTAAATCGAGGATTACCTGTATGTCTGATGAGTCCCTATATATAGGATGAAATTAGTCACATACTGCCTCCTAGTGATCAATATAAGTAAAAACACCATATACAATACTATGCAAAAATAGAGAAACTTCCCACAACACACAAAGGTATGACGTAAAAATGTTGTGTAACACCCACAACTCACTGCTCTTAAAAGTGGACTGTGTATACCATCCCTTGAACAAAATGAACAAAAAAAAATTAACCCAAGCAAACATTGGCATTCTTCTTACCTATTGTTATCCACAAGGTACTGCACAATTTTATCAAGCACTCTCTCGATCAGGGCGGTGCGCACCCAAATGTGCTTGATGGCTTGTGGGGACAAAGAAGAGGGCTTGTTTGTGGTTGAAGCTTGCCGCTTAAGGGATTCTTGGCCAGCTGGCTGGTATTTTCTGTTAAGGAGAAAAAAATACCAGAAAAGTGTGAGTCTCGAAAATAAACGTTCTGCATATGAGAATAGAGGTTTATTACCGACTACGGGGTCAGAGTCAGTGGTGTTTCGTCCGATGTTATAATAGTTAAAGATAAAGTAAAATTAAAAGGGTACTATAATAATTGCTCTTGTTACAAAGAGTTAGAATCGTTGAAATTCTACACACCTGAAGTCTTCTGGTAGGCACCCTAAGCATGAAAGCCAGCTGCATGATTCTGAGCCAATCACCAGGAAACCGTGAGTTCTAGTCCCGCCCTAGGCATGAAAGCCGACTGGGTGACTTTGAGCCAATCACCATGAAACTGTGAGTTCTAGTCCTGCCCTAGGCATGAAAGCCGACTGGGTGACTTTGAGCCAATCACCAGGAAACCGTGAATTCTAGTCCCGCCCTACGCATAAAAGCTGACTGGGTGATTTTGAGCCAATCACCAGGAAACCGTGAGTTCTAGTCCCGCCCTAGGCATGAAAGCCGACTGGGTGACTTTGAGCCAATCACCAGGAAACCGTGAGTTCTAGTCCCGCCCTAGGCATGAAAGCCGACTGGGTAACTTTGGCTCATTCCCTCTCTCAGAGCCCAACCCATATCACAGGGTTGCCGTTATGCAGAAGATTGGAGGAGGATGTGTTCATCGCCTTGAGGTATTGATAAATAATAGTAGAAGTGGGATATAAATAAATAAAAATTCTGAGATAATGTTGCATCTGCTAAATAAGCCCCACTGAACAGCTCTCATCCCTGTGCAGTCAGTCCCTTCCCTTTGCTGGCCAATGAAAGTGAGCAGAGGTAATAATTTAACTAAACTCTCTGCTGGGTGTTGCTTTTGTTGTTTGTCATGGCTAGGGGCCATTTGCACACATGAAGGTTTCTGGGATGATTCCAGAGGCTTTAATATCACGATGGGAAAAGACAGAGGTTGCTTATAAGAATTAGCCAGTGTGAAAGGGTTGGGAAAGAGGGAGGGAAGAAGGGGTATCCATCTCTGAAACTGGCATTAAAGAGATTTTTCAAGCCATACAGATAGTCCTCAGCTTATGACCTCAACTGGATCAGAATTTCCATTGCTAAGCAAGGTAGTTGTTAAGTGAGATGCCCAATTTTATTACCTTTTTTTTGCCACGGTTGTTAAGTGAATCACACTGTCATTAATCAAATCTTTCTTCCCCCATTGACTTTGTGTATTGGGAACTGGCTGGAAAGGTCACAAATGGCAATGACATGACCCCGGGATGCTGCGACTGTTGTACATATATGCTGGTTGCCAAGCATGCATGTTCAGGTGGCCATGGAGATGCTGCGACAGTCATTAAATGCAAGGACCAGTTGTAATTCCCCCCCCAGTGCTTTTGTAACTTCAAATGGTCACTAAACAAATGGTTGTAAATCGAGGACTACCTGTAAAGCATTTAATGGCCATTCAGCACTATTTCAGTTGGCTGGTATATTCCCATGCTAGCAAGTTATGTGTTGAATGCCAGGCTGACTATGAGAACTGATTTCGGTCTCTGGTTCCTTCATGGGGTTAAGAGAGCACACAAGTTTCTAGTCCTTCATAATGCTGAATATATTTTTTTTAACATCTCAGGCCTATATTGTATATTTTTTGCACCTTCTCAAATACTTTTTTGCTGCTTGGTTGCAGTATTGATTCAAAGACTAAGGAGATTGTTATATACATATAGAAGATACACAAGAAAATATGCAATTCTCCTCTACACCATATATGAGAGGCTGCATCCGTGGCTCCAATTATGCCCGTCTGCCAGAAGAAAATCTGCCAGGCAGGGCAGCCTAAATAAATGTTTTATTTTGTCTTTCTTCATCATGAATGGTCTTTCCATCTTTGGCAATTGCTATGTAAAATCCAGCCGCAAAGTGATGGGAAACCAAGTTTAAGAGGGAAGAGCAGCCAAAAAAACGAGTGGTTTCACTGGCAAAGGCAGTGACATTGCTTGCCAATTCAACCAACTCCTTTCACAGCCAACTCAATTGGCTGCTTAAATGCTGAAATGTCACTAAGGGGGGGGGGGGAATCCATATTTTTCCAAAGTGTTTTCTCACCACACAAATGGCCCTGGATACAAACTAATTAAAAATAGAAATTTGGGGGGAGAGGAAAATAAAAACAAAATGTCTGGAAAATCATTTTCTCCCTCTCCGAATTTCCCAGTCAAAAGGGGGAAAAAAGGATCTTATTTTTTCTCTACTACATCTGATTCTCACTTAATATAAACTAGTGACCTGAACAGAGATGGAAACACAGTCGGAAAGGCGAACCACCTGCCTACATTCTCCCCGTTGCTTACAGGTGATCTGCAAAGGAAAAGAAGAAATGAACACGTTCTCTTTTGAAGCTCATTTGGGGAATGAGTGTGTAACTTGGGATCTCAACTTAATAGACATAGAAGTGAATAACGTCAGCATGATCCCCAAGGGATTCCTTGCTAAATTGAGGAGAGGAGGAAAGTTGCCAAGTTTGAAGAACATGGATCCAGAGCAACCTTTTCCAACCTACCACATGTGCACAACTTGTTGGTGCGGGCTTATGGAAAGTGGTGAACAGGACATCTAGAAGACACCAGAATTAATCTGCTGATCTAGTGCGTTATTTTGGTTGGAGAGACTCAAGCACCAATTTGGGCTAAATGTATTTATTTAATTATCAAATTTGGAAACCAGCCATCTCCCTCACAGAGCAAAATTATTAACAGATTAGAGGTCTACTTTGGTCCAAGGTGATTCTAAGTCTTTCGAAAAAGATTAACTCAAACATGGAGGCCACTGGGCCAGTGTGCACGCAGGTGTGCACACACTCACCCCCCCTCACGCCACCATCGCTGTGAGTGTCACACGGGCGCTAGGGGTGGCAGGGACCAAAGAAAGCCCCTCCAGTGGCAGACACAGCTGTTGTGCAGCAACAGTAGAGCCTTTTGCTGTCACTCCCCCCTGGCTCCAAAACGGTGGAGGGGGACTGGGTAAGGCCCATCTTCCGTAGCATGGCAGTCTGACTCGGGAGGGGAGTGAAAGGGAAGAGGTGAGCGGGCAGCTGACATGATCGAAGGTGGCGTGTCTCAGTTTGGTTTCCATTGCTCCTGTCTTGGACTTTTGGGGAGAGTTTTTTTTCCACCCTACCTGGAAGGAAGTTGAATGAAACCCAAACGTGTTCTGGAAAACACAGATTTATCATAACCGGTTCACCAAACTCAACAAAAAATTAGGTCTCGGTTCTACCGAACCTGTGCGAACTGGCTGAATCCCACCACTGGTCCTATTCATAATGCGCTGATCCTGGGGCCATCTTGTTAAAAATAATCATGGTGGCTGCAGAGTGCAAGATGCATAATTATCTCTTCCAGATGTGCTACCCAAGAATGGGATGTTCCATCTCCTAATGGTGGACAGCCTGAGCATCTGACTGGTCTCTAGGAAACACATGCAAAATGAACGTCACCCTCACCTGCCTTCAGCCTGTTGCAACAACTCCTGCACTTTCCTGCATATGTCACTGGCCACGTCATAGGTCTTGCCAACCTTGGTGAAAAGCGCAGCGATCTTGTCTGTCCGCAAGAAGCCGGATGCCCGACGCTTGAGCATGTGGAGAAGGCAAATTTCTACCATACCTGGGAGAAAAAAAACAGAATACAGGGCCAGTGAGCAAAAACACATATTTAGAATCATAGAATAACACAGTTGGAAGAGACCTTGGAGGTCATCTAGTCCAATCCCCCATTTGAACAGGAGAGTCTGTGCTTTTTTAGACAAATGGATGTCTTCTTGAAAACCTCCAGTGATGGGACACTCACAACTTCTGAAATATGTTTTTTTTTAAAGTACAAGGCTAGGAGGCTTTAAAACAAGATCCTCAACTATTTGAGGTCAGAGGACCTTTTGGGAATATTGAGATCATGTTCCGAACAAAAATTATTGCAATAACAAAACATCTATACAACAGAAGAAGTCAAGACTATAGCCACCCATCATTTGATTTTCTAACCAGGTAGGTCCATAGGCATCACTAGAAATGCAGATTGTGCTTGAGGCTGGTGCCTCACTAGCTTCTCAATCACTTTTCAAATTTTAAATAAAGTGAAGAATTAAAACTAGATAAGGGGAAGCTTGAGGAGCACTAAGGAATGTGTCAGTAAACACATTCTCGGCCCTTCAAATGGCATGCTGGGAGCCACTACTAAACAAATTAAAGAGACAAGATCCAAGAGCAAAATAGACCTTAAATAGATCTTATGACCTGCAGGTACAAGTGAGAAAAAGGAAGCACAATGTTTGCTGTCTTGAGCTCCTATAAAAAGGCAGGATACGATAGCCTTTGATTAATTATTGTTATTTATAAATATTTTTATATATAATTTATATATATAGTTTATAGTTAAGTTGATTATTGTATATTAGAGTTACAGTAAGTTTATACTTGTTTATATTATGAATGGGTATTTGGGTTAGACTTGGATTATTATGTGATTATTCCTGTACTCAGTTCTGGGAAGTCCGGGGGGGGGAGGGGAGAAGGGGATTAGGGGATAGAAATTATAAAAATTGATGTGTTTATATATTACAGGTAAATAATGGTATTGTATTAAAAAGAGGAGATGCTCGGCTGGTACCCCAAACTGAGATGGGATGTAGGGAGGTGGAAAGGAGGAAAGAGGAGAGGTTGTGGGTTTAGGGGGAGGAAGGAAGAAGAAAGTGAATGAGGGTGGAGGCAAGGCGGGGACTGCCGAGCGTCTCCGAACACGTATTGAGTAGGATTATCTTTTTTTCTTGTGTAAGTAAATGCATCATATTTGAATTTGTTGTTTAATTTCAAAAATTAATAAAAAATTTATAAAAAAAAAAAGGCAGGATACAAATTTAACACATACATACATACCTCTAGAATACTAAGCATTAGGTTTACAAAGTTCTCAAAGATGACATAGAATGCAAGAGTTTATTCAAGGAATCACTTGCCCCAGAGACTTTCTTAGTAAGCACCATCAGATCTCTGCATCAATTCATCTTTTGGTTGAACCACTGAACCACAAATTTTCGTTTTTACGACCTAAGTGTGTCTTGCGGTTACCTTCTCTTATAAACATCGAGTCCCGACTTGACACCCCGGGAACCATGAGAGACTCGAACCAACAAAAGAACGTCTACAAAGAACGGCTATAGTCGTAGTCGTCTATTGGTAGTCAATGGTTCTGCCCGTTACTTTGCAGACGTTCTTTTGTTGACTTGAGTCTCAGCACCAAGGATCACCATTAAAAACGCAACCCAAGTTAACACTTGCCAAGCTGCATTTGTGAAAATGAAAATGTATCCACTCCTTAATTGATATGGTTGTGTTTAAAGTGTGAACATAGCCAGAGTGTCTGTGGCGGTATACAAGGAAGGGCCCATGACACTGAACTCTAAAGCAAGGAAACTTAATTCAAATTTGAATTTTTATTCCAACAGTTGCTGCCTTTGTGAACATCACAGTCATCCATCAGTCTCTCTGGGAATTGGCATCAATTATTCCAACACAATCCAGATCGTGTAAAATGAGCTCTCGGAAACATGAAAGCTTATGAATCATCACTCTAGATTACCAGAAATGAGAAATGTTTGTGACTCTGAAATGTTGATAAAGACATCTGACATATAATTCATTTGTTAAATTACCGATGGCTGAATTTAGCTCCTTCTCCTCTTTGATCTCACCGTTTATGCCCACGTATTAAATTCTGAAACTATCAACTCAATTGAACTGTATAGCTCTCTTTGTGCTTAACGCCCACAGAATATTCCATCTATGAACAACTTTGGTTGATCTGTGATGACATTTTTTTTTAAATGCAATAGCAAAAAAGAGATGCAAAGCAGAGAGCATGGAAATCTTAGAGACAGCCTGGTTCCCAGTCTACCCTACAAATTTCTGCACCCTTCCTGAAAGGAATGCTATAAAATAGATTCCATCTTTTCCAGACTAATCTAACCACAGAGGTCTGGCCTGCCAATTAGAGCAAGCAATTTCTAAGCAAACAAGCTGGACTTTTTGCAACTTAAAAAAAATAATTAAGCAACAGAAAAACCACAATCCATGAGGAAAGATAGGTGGGGTTATTTGCTGTTAAAAAGGCAGACAATCTCATTCCAAGGCAGTTTATCTCAGAAATACACCACAGGAAAAGCCTTTAAATCCTCATGAAAACCTCTCACTGGCTATTGTTTGAAAGAGGATGCAAGCCTAATATGGTCTAATTTACCTATGTTTATGTAGTAATATATATTTATTTTTTTGTTAATATAAAGCCTAACCAACTTAGGAATGAATGCTCCTCTTAAGTATCAAAGTATTAAGCAATAACAGAGGTAATTAAAGAAGAGAAATTTATTTTGAGGGAAGTATTTTATATTGTGCTGCTCAGCCCAAAGGGTTCCCCCAAATTTTCCACAAATTCAGACTTGAAGAGTCCCTCGTCTCTGGCTCTCGTACTGAAGTTGGAGACTAGGGCTTAACAAAAAAAAAGGGGGGGGAAGTTGCTTCCTTTCTGAGGCAGATGCAAATATATTTAATTATTTTATCTGTAATGAACTCCTTCTCCTTCTAAACCCGAAATGGTTCCATAGAGTTCCCTCTGATAGCAGTACAAGTGGTCCTTGACTTACAACCATTCGTTTAGTGACTGTTTGAAATTACAGTGGCACTGAAAGTGACTTATGACCACTTTTCACAGGATTGTTGCAACATCCCTGCAGTCACGTGATCAAAATTTGGATGCTTGGCAACTGGTTCATATTTATGACGGTTGCAAGGTCCCAAGCTCATGTGATCCAATCCGGTTATTAGCTTAACAGCTCCAGTGATTCAGTTAACAACTGTGGCAAAAAAGGTTATAAAATAGGGCAAAACTCACTTAACAATTATCTCGCTTAGCATCAGAAATTTTGGGCTCAATTGCAGTCAAAAGTCGAGGACCACCAGACTGGGAAGAGAGGTTTCGATGGAAACAACATAGTACTCTGTTTTTCTTCTCTTCCCATTTTACAGAGCCAGGATGGCACTGTGGTCAGAATGCAGTATTGCAGGTTAATTCACTGCTCACTGCCAGGAGTTCGATTCTGACTGGCTCAAGATTGACTCAGCCTTCCATCCTTCCGAGGTCGGTAAAATGAGGACCCAGATTGTTGGGGGGCAATGTGCTGATTCTCTAAACCGCTTAGAGAGGGCTGTAAAGCACTGTGAAGTGGTATATAAGTCTAAGTGCTTTTGCTATTGTTATTGTAGCTATTGCTACAATAAAAGGGCCATAGTGGCACAGTGGTTAGAATGCAGTACTGCAGGCTACTTCTGCTGACTGCTATCTGCCTGCAGTTTGACAGTTCGATCCTGACCGGCTCAAGGTTGTCTCAGCCTTCCATCCTTCCAAGGTCGGTAAAATGAGGACCCAGATTGTCGGGGAAAATATACTGACTCTGTAAACCGCTTAGAGAGGGCTGTCAAGCAGTGTGAAGCGGTATTATAAATCTAAATGCTTTTGCTATTTCTACTGTAGCTATTGCCACAACTCAAGCTTTCTCCTAACAACATCACCATTAGGACTGCTCCAACTTAGTGACAGCCAAGTTGTAGTCCCCTTGCTATTATGAACACCGCTTGCAGCAACGTTTTTAGTCTCCAAAAATGTTTGAAATCACAGAATAATGCTGAAACCATGGGCATCTACCAGTTCTGGAGTGCCTGCCAGAAACTTGATGACTGTCATAGAACATCAAATGCTACCTGGCATCCATGACATGAGTGACACTAAACCACAACTTGAAACTGAAACTTCACAATGGCCAAAAACAGCATAGACCAGTGTTTCTCAACCTCAGTAACTTTAAGCCAGGGGTCTTCAAATTTGGCCCTTTTATGACTTGTGGACTTCAACTCCCAGAATTCCTCAGCCAGCATGCCTAGCTGAGGTATTCTGGGAGTTGAAGTCTACAAGTCATAAAAGGGCCAAGTTTGAAGACCCCTGCTTTAAGTTGTGTAGACTTCAACTCTTAGAATTCCCCAGCCAGCCATGGAGAATCACATGATAAAGAGGAAAATAGTCAAAACTGCCAAAGTTGCTGCTAAGAATCAAATAATAAAATAAATGCTATAAGAATGCATAATATGCAAACTGACCCTGAACTGAAAGAATGTGGATAAAATCAAGATGAAACTAGAAAAACAATGCTCTATATAAAATATACTAGACCAGTGTTTCCCAACCATTGGCAACTCTAAGATATGTGTGTTCTTTGTTCTAATTATATTGTGGTTTTTTATATATATTTTAGCTAGCTGTCCAGAATTCCTTCTAGTAGACGGGCGACATATATATTTATTTAGAAAATAAATGAATCCTACTTGTAGTCTCAGAAACAGTATCAATGGGGCACCTAAGAGATTTGGGTGCCTGGGGTGAAGGAGTAGATCAGGGGTCTTCAAACTTGGCCCTTTTATGACTTGTGGACTTCAACTCCCAGAATTCCTCAGCCAGCATGCCTGGCTGAGGAATTCTGGGAGTTGAAGTCCACAAGTCATAAAAGGGCCAAGTTTGAAGACCCCTGTAGTAAATGGTACTGTTGCCTTTCACTTGACGGACAG